TGATGACCCCGCACACTTGGGTCCTGGTCAGGAGAGAGGTGCAGAGGAGCAGAGAGGAGTGTTCTTTCAGTGGTGTGAGTTTTGCGTTTACTCAGTGCTGGGTACAAGCTGCGAGGCCCTGGAGAGGCATCCAGCGGGGTCCTGTGTGAGCAAGCGTGAATGGGGCAGGCCGAGCCCTCAGCTCCTTGGCTCCTGCTCTGAGAGGACGTGAGGCCTGGACCGGGCACCCTTCCACCACCGTGCCTTCTGCTGGCACTGCCAGGCGTCCCTGTGAGCTGGCTCTGGCCCAGCTCTGCCTGGGTGGCCCCGGCCCGCCCTGGACCCAGCAGCTCCTTGGGTAGGACGCCCCCTCCTGGAGCGCAGGGGTTGCAGCGTCTGTGTGCTGGGGCCTGGCGCCGTGCCCTGGGTCTGTGTCAGGACTAGGGCCCAGGGAGGAGTGTGGGCCCTGCTTGGTAGCAGGTGTGGGTAGGTGGGTGGGTAGGTGGGGCAGGGCCCATGGGTGAGGACTGCTCAGGCTCAGGCTGGCAGGGCCTCTGGTAGCGACTGTGAGGACACACTGCTTCCCCTGCCTTCCTGACAGGCACCCTGGCGGGGGGCTCCAGAGGAGAACAAAAGGTGGGGGATGTGCATGACAGCCCCCTACCCTGTTTACCTGGGACCCAAGGACAGGTGTCCTGGGGCCGTGCCAGCCTCAGGGCCCCTGGGAGCTTCCAGGAGCTGTTTGCCATCGGCCGGGGGCATGTTGGTCCATCTGAGGATTGTCCTCACTTCTTTGTGTTTATAGGGGCTGAGGGCTCTTTGGAGGATACTGTGAATCGCAGAGGGGGCCAGGCCGGGATGCGTAAGTTTGGCTTTTTCTTGTGTCCTCAGAGAGGCCAGACCTGAGGCGTCTGCGGGTGTCTGCTTCAGCTGGCGGTGCTTTCTCTCGCCGAGCCTGCTCCTTGTCTGTTGGGAGGGGTCGTCTCTCTCTCCGTCTCATTCGCATTCAGTTATTTCCCGGGTACCTTTTGTGCGTCAGGCACCATCTAGGCACTGGCACTAGGTCCTGGGGCCTTCTGACGCTTCCATGGAGTGGGGTGCGGATGCCAGCAGACGGTCTGTGCTAACACTGTCAGGAAGGCCTATGCAGAAGGGGTCTGCTGGCTGGGGCCAGGGGGGCCTTTCTGGGGAGTGACCTATGAGCAGAGGTAGAGGCCCTTGTGAGGAGAGGAGCTGACCACACCTACACCTACCTGGGAGGAGAGTGTTCCCAGTAGATAGGACAGAAGCTTGATGCCTCAAGACCACGATTGGTTTGAAGAGTAACAAGGGAGGGCAGTGTGGCCATAGTGGGTGAGAAGGACGCAGTGAGATTGGTGAGGTGGCCAGGCCTTGAGGCGTGATGGGGGTCTGGTGCCCGTGGGTGTGGCCCAGGCTGGTGAGTGGCAGGGCCTCACCCCTCCGCATCTCGGCCGTCATCCTGCATCTGGTGAGGACGGTGTCATCACCTGCCTCTGTCACCTCTCACCTCTGCTGCTCTGAGGGGACAGCCATCTGGCTGCACCCTCCCCACCCCCGGCCTGCCCTCCTTGCCCGTTCCATGCTTCCAGCCACGTTCTCTCCCTAACCTGGTGGCTGTAGGAAGAGCGAAGCTGTTGGGCTTCAGGCCAGACCAGGGGTGAGCAAGAGTGGGGCTCAGTTCACAGCCCTGGGCTGGGAGGTGGGGGTTTCTGTCAGTGTGGGCCCACCCTGCACAACACGTCCCCCTTTGTACACGCCCCTGACATCCTGAGTTAGCTGTGGTCTGACCAGGCTCCCCACTGAGCTCCCGGCTGGCTGCCTTTCTGTTCTCCCACAATTGACCGTTCGAAGGAGAGTATACCTGGTGTAACCGTTCACCTGCCATATCTTTTGGTGGAGGAGAGAAGCAGGGAGGTGTGATCCCAGGCTCCTCAGGTGGCCAGTGGGTAAAGGTGGGTGCCACCTGCCTCACTCTCTCCTGGAGTCCAACCTCGACCTCAGTGGAAAGAGGAGTGGAGGAAGTGGGGGGGCCGGGAGAGAGAGGAGCCGAGCCGGTGTGTGTCGTGTGATTTGTCTGGTGAAGGGCTGAGAGGTCTGTGTGCGCGCGTGTGAAGCCTGGGCGTGCACACATGCCATACACGAATAGATGGACAGTGTACCTGTGATGGTGCCATTTCACGGAGAGACTAGGACAAACATGCCTAGAAGACAGGTGAGGAGGGTGACAGTAACAGAGAAAAGGCCGGGACGATAGTACATGTGACGAAGCTGCTGGCAGTGGGCTTGGAGATGGTGGTGCTCTCTGATGGGCTGCCCCAAAGTACCCAGTGAGGACAGTGGTGCTCGGGCACGTGCTATAAACGAGAGAGGGACAGACGGGACTCGCCTGTCTGCTTCCCCACCACTCTCTGGTCCAGTGCCACCTCCTTTGTCCCCGGGAGGGACTCAGGCTCTGCTTAATTCAGGTGGGCTTACCCCATCGCGGGGAGCACAGGCATGTGTGCCTGGACCCCGGAGGGCTCAGTGCTGGCCGGGCAGCATGAGCAAAGCCAGGTCTGGGTAGGCCAGACCGCTCATCAGAGAAGCTGGGGTTAGTGGGGCCGTGAGGCTGGAGGGGGAAGGCGCCTGCACCTTGCTTTCCCAGCTCTGGACATGGTGAGACATGTGGGGGTGGCTGAGCCAGGATGCCACGCTCGAGGAGCCATCATGTGGAAGACCACACTCAACCTCTGGGTGGGGACCCCGGGCCGGGTGGGCATCGGGCTGCCAGGGGCCAGCGAGTGGGGCTGGCTTGCCCATGTCAGTCTCTGAACCTGGGAGAAGGGCTGGCCAGCTGCCCAGCAGGACAGTGGTGTAGGTTTAGCGGTGCCTGGGAGCCTGGCTTTGACGTGGCCCTCGGGGGCAGAGACTGTTAACAGGAACGCACAGAGCAGCATCGTCTCTTACCCAAGATGTTCTTGGAAATGCTCTTGCTCTGGGTGAGAGTTAGGAAATGACCTTCTATTTTAGGCTCTGGGGTATGTCACGTGCTGTTGATTTGCGTGCGCTGATCCTGTGTGTCTGTGGGCCATGTCAAAGCGTCCTGCTGGCAGATGGGAGGTTGGTTGCGGGTCAGGGGTGGGCAGGGCCTGTGGGCCCTTGGAGCACACTGAGCTTAGGCTGGCTTTGCTGGGCTGTGCAGTCTCGGTGCTGGGGAAGGTCCCCAACAGTGGGAAGTAGCTGGCCAAGCCCCCAGCCAAGCCCTCAGGAGGAGGGCAGACCCGGGCAGCCTGTGCCTCGTGGAGGGAGGTGTGGGGAATCTTCTTAGGAGAAGCAGGTCTGGTTGGGCTGGTCTGTGAGGCAGAACCTGTAAATCGGGGTGCTCTGGGGGGACAGGGTGCAAAGCAGAGGGCCGTCTTTTGGCATGGTAGTCTGCAGGAACCCACAAGCGTAGCTGTCCAGCAGTGTCCACTGTGCTGGCAGGCAGCACTCCCAGGGTGGGGAGGAGGCCCTTAGCACGCATGGGGCCCACCCTGTACCGTGCCCCTGACAGTGATGCTGACCAGCTCCTTCCCTGGTAGGAGGGGCAGGGTTCCCACGGCTTGGTTCTCTCCTCACCAACCCCTAGTCGGTCCCGCCTGCACACCCCCGCGCCCGCGGCCCTGCCGGTGGGTCCCCCCTGCACACTCCCACGCCCGTGGCCCTGCCGTGGGTCCCGCCTGCACGCTCCCACGCCCGCGGCCCTGCTGTCACAGTTTCCCTCTTGGAGCCCTTGTGGGCTGTGAGCCAGCAGCCTGCAGGAGAGGGCAGGGCTGGGGCCTGACGTCCCAGATAGGTGGGTAAATGGCTTCCCCACCTGGGGCTGTGATGAGGCAGCTTGTCTTCAGTAGGTACAGGATGGGGCAGAGCTGCACTTCCTGTCAGTCTCTTGCCCCATGCGGCCAGCATGGCAGTGTAGGGTGAGGGGAGGGTGCTATATCTGGCTACATGGTGAGTGCACGGGGGCTCTTTTCCCACCAGGCGGGTGAACTCAGTGTGCTGTTCTCCCAGTGGTCCTAGGAACGGGCACTGCAGCCCTTCAGAGGGGCGTGCTGACTTTAGGTAGTATTGTGGGCAGGCAGGGTTAGGAATGGGGGCCCGTGCTTCCAGGCAGGGTATCTGCTGAGCAGAACCCAAGCGTAGGCCCAAGTCCTTCATTTATTCATTTTTTAATTTTCATTGTGATTTGGGTGAATGTTTACAGATCAAATTCACTTTCCATATAGCAGCTCACATATACTTTGTCTCATGACATCAACTGCAATTTCCCACAATGCAACAGCTCTATTCCCAGTTCCTCCCCGTAGTTACCTCTTCCCTGTGTCCATCCCTCCATGCACTCCTGCCCCCTGGGCTGTCTCCCCGTGCATACATAGCCCTTCTATTCTCCCATGATTGATTTCTCCAAGGAGTGTATCTACCTGGTGTAAATGTTCATTTCATATGCCTGTTTTCTGTTTGGCTGGAAGCCACGGGAGTGGGTTCAATTCCAGACCTGACGGGCAGGTAGGGGCCATAGTCTCAGGGGTTCCACCAGGCTCTCCCTTTTTTCTTTTTTAAATAATTTTGAGTTCTGTTCCACATTGTTCTCCCTCTCTATCCAAGATCTCCTACATAGATCCCCCTCCCAATGGTTGACAGTGGTAGCCGGGCACCATCTAGTTCTTCTGGTCTCATAGTCGTATAGGCTGCGGATCGCATGGTGTACCGGTCCTTTTCTCCAAGTCTTTTTAAGACCACTTTCGTATCACAGTGGGGAAAGTGGCCGTGAACAGGGACGTTGAGGGTCTGAGCCAGGTTCTCAGAGCCCCGTTCCTCCCCTTCCCGGTAGCGTCTAGGGCTGGGACAGTTGAGGCTGTGGGTGCCAGGGTAGCCCCACCTGTGTGGCCAGCTCCCAGACTCCCTCGGGGTGCTGTTCTGCTCTTTGGGTGAAGAGCCCATGTGTGCTCACTTCCTGTCTGCTCATTTCCTTTTCCCTGCAGGCCTCTGGCTGTACCTGGCGGGGACCAGCCTGCCCTGCCTCACGCTGATTGGCTCTCCTAATTTTGGGTACAGGTCAGTTCACCGGGACCTGGAGGCCCAGATCGCCATTGTGACGGAGAATCAGGCCCTGCAGCAGCAGCTCCACCAGGTGCGTTGGGGCAGGTGGGCCTCTTGGGTTTGGGCTCCCCAGGGGCTGCTCCTGCCGGTGTCCTGCTGAGGGAAGGAGGCCAGCTGGAGTCCCCCGTAAGGCTGTCAGCAATGGGACAGACCCCACAGAGCTGGGCTGACGGTGGCACCTGGCCTTGCCAAGTGGATGCTGTCCCACCCAGGGACCCTTTCTTGCTGGGTGCAGTCAGGGAGGAGCCAGGGTGACTCGGGGGCCGGGCTCCCCAGGGAAGAGCTTCTGGCCGCGTGCAGTTAGTTCTGAGAAGGGCTCTCCTGAAGGGGTGTTCAGAGTGGGGAGGCTGGGGATGAGGTCCGGGGACAGGCAGTGGAAGCAGAGTGGCCTCTCGGCAGGTGGGCACACGGGGGGCTAGGGCTGCACAGGGAGAGGGGGAATCCTGGAGAAAGGGCGGCGCCCTGGAAGCCCCCGTTGCCAGGGTGAGGCAGCTCCCGGGAGCTCAGGCCCATAGGGCGCTCACGTTCCTTCCACATGTGCCGTGACATTTGTCCTTGGTCATTTGGCTGTTTTTATTGGGATTTCATTCCTGAGCCAATACGTTTGGGAAAGAGCTGGCGTAGTAGTGCGGTACAGGGTGTGGAGGCAGCCCTGAGCCCCAGCCAGCCGGCCACACACCCCTCGCTCCTGGGCCTGGGGTTCTGCAGTGGGGTGCGCAGGATGCTGTCCCTCACTCATGTCGGGGAGCAGTCACCCAGAAAGACAGGCTTCTGTACTTGGGGGCTGTGTCTGGGGAGCTGTGTGCTCGTAGCTGGAGCAGAACCCCCTTCGCTTGCAGAGCTGAGAGGGAGAAGGCTGAGGAGGTGGGAGAGGGCGCTGAGAAGAACGGCCTCGTTGGGGACGAGGAGAGCCCTGAGGCGTTGCCATTGGCGCCAATGGAGGGCGGGCAGGAGCCCACAGGGACCCTTTACTCCCTGGAAGAGCCATCCTCAGGGTATCTTGTCAGGGCAACCCTTAGGGTCACTTGTAAGCGGGGGGCAGGCTGAATGACAGCCCAGAGTCCTGCTGTGGGGTCTCGTTGGTTGGAGTGTGACTCTGCTGGTCTCAGGATGTGAGTGCCCTGGTGGTCCTCAGTCTCTTCAGAGCGACGGTCGCCTGCTCTGGGCTCAGCAGTGGGCAGTAGTTGTGGTTGTGAGGTGCCACCGAGTCGGCTCCGACTCGTGTACAGCAGAGCAGAGCCCTGCCCAGTGCTGCGTGGGCCTCAGTCCCTGCCACGCTGGGGCCTGTTCTCGCAGCCGCTGTGTCAGGCCATCTTGTCGGGGCCCTTCCTCTTTTTTGCTGACCGTCTACCCAGCACGCTGTCGTTCTCCAGGGACTGGTGCCTCCCAGTCACGTGTCCAAAATACACGAGATGCAGTCTCATTGTCCTCGATTCGCAGAGCACCCTGGCTGCACCTGGCAGTGGTGGTGCCTTACCTGTTTGAGTGGTGGGACTGGAAGCCGTGTTGAGTGTGAGGCCAGGTGGTGTGGGTGCCCCTGTGATTGGTGCGCACTCCCGAGCGGCCTTCCCGTGGGCAGGCCCCTCCTGAGTCCTGGGAATGGATGCAGAAGCTCCCGCGGGCCAGACCTTGGGAGCGGGAGCTGTTGACTTGGTCAGACTCATACGCTGCCGCCGTGGGAACGGCTCTTGTGCAATGGCTGGCGCCTGTCTTGCTGGGTGAGGAAGCGGTGACGGCCTTGTTCTGGGGGTCTGCCCCCTGCGACTGGGAATCTCGTCAGTAACTGAGAACCTGGTGCCAGGAAGGGCTTTACAGCCGGGGACAGAGAGGAAGTGACACGGCTCGTGCCCTGTGCGGGGCCATTGAGGTGACCTCCTGCTTCAGCAGCTTGCTTCCTGCACTAGGGATCACAGCCAGCGACTGAGGACTCCCCCTCAGACTGTGGCATGGCTTCAGTCACCAGGCCACCGTGAGCCCTGGCCGGCCTTGTGAAGTGGGAGCTGTAGCTCTTAGTTCGGGCCTCGCCTGGCCTCCTGCCTCCAGGGTGGGAGAGCTGTTCACACGGCCCCCGCTGGGTGCCCGCTTCTGTCAGGGGCGAGGGTGAGGCCTGCAAAGACCTGGGCGGATCTAGGGGAGCGGGTCCCTCAGGCCTGCAAGCAGGGTCCAGGTCCTGGCTGCCCTCCCCCTTCCTGAGTGAAGTGACTGAAGCCACATCCTGGATCTTGAGGAGAGCTCAGGCCTCGTGGTCAGCAGCTATGTTCCCACGTGGCAGGTTTGGGATATTTGCTTCCTCTTCCCAAACCTGGATCCCAGGGGCTCGGCCTTGGGGGTATGGTGGTGGGGGTCAGGAGAGCTTGCTGCTGTAGCTCTTCCACTCTTCAGACACACTGATCTGAGATGCACATGCACGTGTAGGAACACCCCCCCCCCCCGGACGGGTCTGCTGATGCATCTGTACACCAGGACTGCAGCTACCTTCCTGGGGGAGGCCTGACCCCCAGGGTGCCGAGAGCTGCTGGCACTGCCCAGGCCTGCTCCCAGCGGCTGCTCGGTGGCCCCCGTCCTTGAGACGCAGGTCACAGTGAGCCCTGGGAATCGGGAGGTATTTTTATGAGAACCCAGAGTTCCTCCCTTCGTTAAGCACATACAATAAAGAGGAAAGCTTCCTGGTTTTGTCCGGGAACGCTGTTCACCACTCGTGACCCGCACGGTGCCCCTTGACCAGCATTGTCAGCCCGTGCAGCTGACTGCCCTCCCTGTCCCTGCCGTGGAGTCTGTGAGGAAGCTGAGGGGTTTCTGGGGATTTATTGAAGTCTCGGCTGTGCATTCACGTGAGAACATCAGATCGGGTTGTGCAAAGTGGCCTCCGGGGACCAGACCAGCTTCTCCATCAGGCATGTCCTGTCTGAATTCTGCACTCTGGCCACCTCATCAGGAGTGGGGTGCTTTGGGGACTGCTCTGTGGGCCTTGGCCCAAAGGGGCAGAAGTGAAGTCTGTGGCATTGGATTTTCCCAGCTTGTGTCAGGAAAGACTGGGGACAGGTTCTCCAGTGTCCTTGAGGGTCCACTGTGCCTCCTGGGTCCAAGGGGCTTCCTGGGGATGGACGTGCCTTTCGTCCACTGCTCCTGGCAGACCCCGCACAGCGGGCAGCCCTTGTCTCACACTTACCACGTGTGCCTGCCTTTTAGTTCACAGCCCTCACGCCCGCCACCAGTGACGGCACCACGGCTGGAAGGTCCGGCTGTGTTCCGTAGATGAGGGGCTCTGAGCGGCGCAAGCCGAGTGAGACTCTCGCTCCCTGACTACTGCCCTTAGGCTTTGGAAGCTTTGTCACAGCCTCGGTGGAAGGAAGGGTTGTTTCTCATTGTTGGGCTTGTTTCTTAAAACCAGAGAGCACAAGCCCAGTTAATGACAAGGGGCCTCTAAGTTCTGAAATCTGTATTTTTAAAATACTAAAGTCATAAATGGTCATAAATTTGAGAAACATCAGAAGAAATGGAACTTTTCATTCAGAGATGGTCCCTGAAGGCATTTTGAGTGTCCTCCCCCTGTGTGTGGAGAGTGGGTGACTTGGTTCTGTTGTTGTCACTCCACTTAGGATCGTATTGCACATACCCCTCTGTGTCCAGGTTCTCTTGTGGAATCCACTGTGAACGTTCCTGTGTTGTTAAGTGGATTTTCTTTGGTCACGTGGCATCTCATGATGGGCAGAGGTTTGCCATGTGGGTTGACTAAATGTTCTGCTGTGACATGGTGTCTCATGGTGAAGGGGGTTCTGCCATGTGAGTTGACTAGATGTTCTGTGACATAGTCTCACGGTGAACACGGGCCTGCCACGTGGGTTGACTAGTTCTGTGACATGGTGTCTCATGGTGAGCACGGGTCTGCCACGTGGGTTGACTAGTTCTGTGACATGGTGTCTCATGGTGAGCACGGGTCTGCCACGTGTGTTGACTAGATGTTCTGTGACATGGTGTCTCATGGTGAAAACAGGTCTGTCACGTGGGTTGACTAGATGATCTGTGACATGGTGAAACATAGGTCTGCCACATGGGTTGACGAGATGTTCTGTGACATGGTGTCTCGTGGTGAACACGGGTCTGCCACGTGGGTTGACTGATGTTCTGTGACATGGTGTCTCGTGGTGAGCACGTGTCTGCCACGTGGGTTGACTAGATGTTCTGTGACATGGTCTCATGGTGAACACGGGTCTGCCAAGTGGGTTGACTGATGTTCTGTGACATGGTCTCATGGTGAGCACGGGTCTGCCACGTGGGTTGACTGATGTTCTGTGACATAGTCTCGTGGTGAGCATGGGTCTGGCACGTGGGTTGACTGATGTTCTGTGATACAGTCTCGTGGTGAGCACGGGTCTGCCACGTGGGTTGACTGATGTTCTATGACATGGTGTCTCGTGGTGAACACGGGTCTGCCACGTGGGTTGACTGATGTTCTGTGACATGGTGTCTCGTGGTGAACACGGGTCTGCCATGTGGGTTGACAGATGTTCTGTGACATGGTGTCTCGTGGTGAACATGGGTCTGCCTCGTGGGTTGACTGGACCTGGCTGGCTGTTGGGCCTCTGATTGGTCCCCAGCATCTGCATACGAGGTGTGGTGCTGTGGCGAGTATCTGTTTACAAACCGTATGCAGAGTTCTCAGACCTCCTTTTTTGTGGGGATTCACTCCTGCAAGGGGGCCGTGTGGAGGCTTTTGGTGCCAGTCCCAGATTGCTTGCTAGAAAGGTGGTCCTCCCCACCCCTTCTGCTAGCCTTCCTCTGAAGAGGGGTCAGCCTTCCTCCACACGGGGTCCTCACATTTGATAGAAGAGAAACTTTGTCTCATTTTTTAAAAAACCTCCGTTTTAATTTGTGATTTTTCATTCAGTGAGGGAGACTTTTTTTTTTTTTTAAAGTGTATTTTGTTAGTTGTAAATATACAGGTAAGAAAACACTGGCCGTTCAGTCGCCTGCTTCAGTGACATTAAATGCACTCATCATGTCCAGGTGTCACCCGTAATGGGAGCTCAGTGTCCCCTAACTTTGTGTCTCCTTCTCCCTCCCTCCTGCCTCTGAGGAGTAGCTCTGTGAGCGCTTTGCCCCAGCTGGGTTTCTGCCTGCTCTGTGCTCATCTTAGTCTTAGAGGCCTTCCTAGTGTTCCCACGGGAGGACCTTCCCCTTAGCATGCCCCCTAGTCTCTGGGCTGGGGCCACAGGCCATGTCACTGTGCTGCTGTCACTGTGTTGGGGACGCCTGACAGTTCCTGCCTGTTCTCCCCCAGGAGCAAGAGCAGCTCTACCTGAGCTCAGGGCTGGTGTCCTCGGCCACCTTTGAGCAGCCGGGTCGGCAGGTGAAGCTGTGGGTGAAGATGGTGACCCCGCTGATTAAGAACTTCTTCTGAGGACAGGTGCGTCTCTGGTCCTGACCCCCAGTGCGGTTTCACGGGGAGCTCCCTGGCAGGCCCATGGGGGTGCTGAGTTGACCAGTGCTCTGGGCACTGTTGTCGCGAGTGCAGGGCACTGCGTCTCCAGGGTCCCCGTGGTCACTGCCCATGTGGTTGAGCCTGACGGTGAGCGAGGCAGCCTTTCCCCCTCCCCTTCCCGAGCCCCAGGCCAGCATGTGTGACATGCTCTGTTATCCTTCCCTGGAGGAGGTCCTGGCCAAGGGCCCAGGGACCCAGGGACCCAGCTGGCTGAAAGGTTGCTTAGTCTCTCGGTTCTGGGAGACAGTGGGGGGGGGGGAGACGGGGTGCTCCTGGTTGGGAGAGTGGTTCAGGCTCGCAGCCCTGGCCTGTGCAGCTCATGTGAGGGTAGGATCTCCATGCACCTTGCTCTCTCTGAGACATGGCTGTGACATGCAGTCACTATGCTATGATGTTCTGGACGTGTGAGTTTGGGTAAAGGACTCGTGTCAGCGCCCTGGAGGAGCCTGCCAGGGTGAAGGCTGCCTGTAGACAGTGGCCTGCTGGGCCCATGTCACCCAGAGCAGGCCTAGCCAGCAGGCTGCAATCTCTGTGGGGGACCCTTCCCCCATTTTCCACATTGCATCTGGCACACTCCTAGATGGCCGCCTCCGGTGCCCCAGGTGGGCAGTCTGCAGGCTGGTGGGAAGGGAGTGAGGAGTCAGAGACGAGGGGTGGGGTGAGGGGACGCGTGGCTGGTGGTGCAGAGCTGGCGCCCTGTGTGTGCTGTGGGCTCCCTGCACCTCCTTGCCGGGTGTTTCCTTGGTGTTGTAATCACCTTTAATTTTATTCAAACGGTAACGTGCAAACCCAGCAGGTGCTCACATTTCCAATTACCTTGTTGATAATTGTATGCCGTTTTTTCAGTTTGCTTTTCTGACTCAAGGGCCATGTAAGGTGCACACTGATGGGTGGAATGTCACCTTAGTCGCTTTTACTGGGAAGCCACGCCCCCTGCCATTCATCCTTGAAGAACGGCCTTCGTCTGCACCGGGTCTGCCCCAATGTTCATGTGTTGTCTCCCCCAGCAGGGCAGCCCTGAGCCCATCCTGTGTATCTCTAACGGCATGGCCCAGCACCTTCCTACTCACACCCCGCCCCTCCAGGTGCACAGCCCTGGCACAGGCAAGGCCCCCGGAGAGCAGGTGGCCAGGCTGGCCCCGCAGCCCATGCTCTGGGCGAGCATGGAGCCCCTCCGTGCTTGGAGCCTCAGCAGCCAGCACTGTAGCAGACCTCCCTCCTGTGGCCTTTCCAGGGTCTGGGAGGCTGTAGCCACAGGCTGTGAGCGGGGGGACTTTCCGGGTCGGGGGACCTGGCCTCACAAGCAGTGGTTGTGCAGGCTTCTCCTGATGGGTTGGGGAGAGGCTGGCGGGGGGGGCTGAGGTCATACAGCCCATTAGCTAACACCGTCGGCCTTCAGGCTTCAGGCAGTGCCGCCCCAGCTTATGAGCAAGAGCCAAGATCCGTCCTGACCATGTCTTTAAGAATCCGTCAGGTTCACCCAAATCACAGTTAAAAAACGGCCTGTCAGGGCTTCTAACCAGTTCTGCCTGGCTCGGCCATGGCCAGGGAAGAGTCGCGCTGGAACAGACCCAAACTGTTACAGTTACGATGAAGCAGAAAGAGCCAGAACAGGAGCGACGATGGGGACAGCCTGGCTGGAACTATCTCCCTCCTACAGAGGAAGGGCAGCGTGAGCGTTGCATAGCAACTATCTCTCTTCTGGAAGTTTGAGCACTGTCCGAAGCAGTGCTGCCCCACTCGGAGACAGCAGCTGACGGCAGCACCGTGAACGCTCTTCACAGTGCTGCCAGCGCCCAGGGCCTACACCGGGCTCCTGAAAGGGCTCACTCTGCCTCTTCCAAGCCCCCCCCATTCCGGGGGTACCGGGCTGAATTACTCAAATTGTTAGCCTTCAGGCCTGATCTGGATGACAGAGCTGGTGTAAAGGGCAGGTAGGAGCTGTCCGAAAGTCAGGTGTTTGTAGCCAGGCACTGCCTGTGGTGTTAAATCGTCCACAGGATGGTCAACCGAGAAGACAAAGGGCGTGCAGCGGCCCTGTTTCTGTTCGAAGGGGGCTGTAGGCAAACAGCCATGGCCACGTGTCCCCGCCGACTCCTGGGACCAGAGTCAACACCACTGGTGCTGCAGTGGGCCTTGGCAACCCTCAGGGCCGTTTCCGCCTCACTTTGCTGCCTGCACTCGTCTGTACCCTGTTCCCTGACTAGCATCAGGCATCCCGGGCCGGTTCCCCCACCCCACAGAGCACTGATTGCTGCTCCCACCCGGTTCCCCACCACACTGTCAGCCAGAATCCAGATGAGGCACAGCCAGTGTCTGGCTCTCCAGGGTTACAGCCCAGGGGTGAACGTGGTGCCCCGTCCCCCCGGCTCTCCAGGGTTCCAGCTCAGGCTGAGCCTGGAAAGTCTGACGAGAATTCTGTCCACTGGCCACAGTCTGTACGTACGGAGTGGATGCAGTTTATTCCAGGCTCTCAGGCAAAGCTGGAAAAATGCCATGTTTGTGGCCCTGCAGGCCGACTGTGAGTTGGTGGCCACTGGCAGCCTTGTCTCCTCTAGGCAGAGTGGCCCTTAGGACCTGGCCTTCTCTTCTCGCCTGGACACCACGGGCTGCAGCGCCCCCTTCTGGCTGGAGAGGTGGCTGCCCTATAACCAGGTTAATTGGCTCTGGTGCCTGCCTTTCTTCTGTTGGCCCAGAGGGAGTAGGCCCAGTGGAGGGATGAACGGTGTCCCGGGCCCCAGGATTGCGTGTGGCCCATAGCCTGAGCAGGCACCCTGGGACCACGTGTGTACCTGGGTTTGGAGGGAGTGCACCCAGAGAGAAGGGCTCACTCCTGAGGGCTTCACTGGGAACCAGGGCAGGTACTTGTTCGGGGGTCCTGTTTCTTGGCCCCAGGGGCTGTGCCTTGATGGGGGGAGAATGGGTTTGAGCCCCCAGGAGAGCAGCCCCAGGGCCACCCTGTGGGCCACTCGCATCCTGTCTTATCCTAACGAGCTCCCAGCCGCTTCCAGGCCACCCAGAAACCACGGGTCGGGGGGATCTGTGGGCAGACTGCTGGAGCAGACGCTGCCAGCCGCAGGGAGTGGGGGCCCCACAGCCAGAGGGGGACCCTGGGCTCAGCCCCTTTCCTGTGGAAATGAGCAAGCTGCAGCCTCCCAGGACGGCAGACCATGTGTAGGGGGGCCCCTGGCCCCACATGCTGAGGTCCCCGTGGTTTCTGAAAGTGCAGATGGTTGGGGGGCTGGTCTTGTTGGTACAGTCTGTTCAGAGTGCTGGGGGGGAAGGGCATTGCTGTGATGGAGACAGTGAACTGGCCCCTGCGAGGAGGGTCGACAGTCACAGCTGTGTGTGGAGGTGGCCGCGACCTGCCCTGGGCAGCTGGGATTTGGGGCTTGAGTTCTTGGACACTTGCCCTCCTCCCCACTGGGTGTTTCACACCCTGGCGGCCATCAGGAATGGTAGGGATAGAGGAATAGTGGGGATAGGGCTGAGGGCCAGTCGTGTGAACCAGAGCCGCAGAGTTGAGAGACTCCCGTGGTTTAATCTGCCCCTCCTCCCTGAAGGTGCCCCACGCCCCAAGTCCAGAGAACAGAGAGTGCCGTTGGCCCCTGTGAAAAGCGGGCCAGTCGGGAGGCTGCAAGTGCATCTGGGCCACTGGTCCGGGCTGCGAGTGGGGCCGAGGCAGCGCCAGGCCGCTAGACCTGCAGCAGCAGTGCCACGGCCGCCAGGACCCACTTGGCCGCCTTCTCCTTGGTCTTGAGGTTGAACGTCCACACGTAGGTGGGGCCGCGGATACGCGTTTTGTAGACGGGACACTCATAGATGTTCTTGGTTTCCATGCGGTCCACAGGGATGGCCTTGATGAAGATGACGGGCATGGCCGGCGTTAGCTCCTTCAGCCGTGCTTCTGCGATGACTCCCGTCTGCGTGTCCCAGCGCGCACCTGCGGGGACAGCATGGCCCGGCGTCGGGCGGCTGCAGCAGCGGACCCTGCTGGTGGCTTGGAGGCTCCCTCCGCCCGGCAGAAATGGGCGGGGCCCCAGGTGCTGGGCAGGGCTGGCCCAGGTGCTGCTTGCAGTGGGACTGACTCAGGACGTCTTAGGCCCACAGCTGTCCATGCTTGGCTCCACTTGTCTATGAGGACAGCCCCCTGAGTTGTGGGGCAGGAAACCCTAAGTCTGGCTGCACATTACAGGCGATTGAAGCCCCTCTCCCATGTGTGACATCTTCCCTGTATGTACAGGGACCGTGTGAATAATACATGTGTCTCCATGCTCCTCTAACCAGACCATCGGGGTATCTGTCATCCTGTTGAGTGTTTTTGTGTCCTGTCTGTGATCCCAGAATAAACAGGGAGAATGGCTGGGCTGGGCTCTGGTGATCTGGGAGCTGCGGAGAGGGATGTCCTTGCCTTTGCTAGCCCTCCCTGACCCACTGACAGGGCAGGGGTGGCGGTGGTCACCCTGTGAGACAGGGGTGGAGTGGTGGAGTTGGGCTGGGGACATGGCCTCTCCGATTGGCCTCTGGCCTGCTCACTGGGGCCTGGCTGCACAGACGGCCGTGCTGGGCTCCAGAGGAGCTGGTCAGCCAAGGCCATTGCCCTCAGCCAGTGCCCAAGGGCCAGGGCACCCGGTGGGAGTACTGGCTCCAGCTGAGGGCCCAGCCCCCTCCCTAAGCCACAGCCCCCCCGCCCCAGCTGACACCCGGGCCCCTGCTCCAAGGTAGAGGCCCTGCTTTCCTCCCCACCTTCGAGGGTGTTGAAGTTGCTCTCACAAGCACTGTCATTCCGTAAAGCAGGCCCAAGCCAGCAACTGGGATGGTACGTTCTGGCCTTTTCCAGCCTCAGTTGGAGCACAGATACAGACCCCACCTGAGTGGTCAGCCTGGCTCCCTCCCCAGTGACCCTCCTGGCCCCATGGCACAGGCCTGAGCCACAAGCTGATATACCTCCCTCGTGCTTAGGGGGGCCGCCCCAGCTTCCGTAGCTAGCATCTCCTCACCTTCCATAAACAGCCCGTACACGTAGGAGCCCTCGCGGGGGGGCGCAGTCATGTCCTCCCGGTTCTTCTTGGTCACTTCCACAGACAGGCACATCTTGTCCAGGGGCCACTCGTTCTTCCTGGCCGTGGACTGCATGATGGCCGTGAGGAAGGACTGCGGGTTGAAGAAGCCTGCGAGCCACACCGTGGTGGGCAGGGCAAAGTCTGTCGTCCAGGCCTCGAGCTCCTGGAAGGAGGCACACGGCTGAAGCAGAGGACCCTGGCCGCGGGGGCAACAGCAGGGCTGTGCACTGCCCCTGGCAGGGCTGCTTGCTGCCCAAGTCGGGCCACCGGCCGTAGTCCCTGGCAGGGTCATTAGCTGCCCCACCAGGGCCCCTGCCACTCCCAGCAGGGCTGAGTGCACAGTAACCGATGCAGCGTGACAGCTGCCTGTCACGAGGCCACCTGCCTGGCCCCATCTTAAGCGAGGGTACAGGAAGAGAGGTCAGGAAGGGGGCGGCTGGACGTGCGGGGGGGGGGGGGGGGGGGTCCAGGGGCCCGACAGGCTTCTGCTGCCTCACTGGCCTTGTGGTAGCGGCCAGCCCGCAGGCTGACTGCTCTCCTGGGACAGCTCTGGATTTGGGTTAGTGTTCAGACCACTTGTTTTCTTCCTTGGAGGGGAAGTGCCGCATCGTCCTGGCCTCTGCGTGGCGTGGACAGGCCCTTCCGGCCATCCCGGTAGCCTTCCCTTCACAATGCGTCCCGCAGGCCCGGGCGCCCAGGTCCCTGGGTGTTCAGGCAGCAGCAGCCGAGGGAGATGGTCCTTACCCTGATGCGAAGCAGCAGGTCGGCGTACCAGGCCCCCAGGCCCATCATGGAGGGGTAGGCCCGGGCTACCCACGTGTCGGGCACAGTGTCGTAGAACAGAGCCGTGGACAAGTCCTCCATGTCAGTCGTGATGGTCAGCTCCCCCTGGAAAACAGACAGGTGCTGGGGCCCCTGCGACCGGGATTTGCAACTTGCTCCCGCTCATGAAGGGAGAAGGGCGCCCTTCCCAGGGTGCAGTGAGCTGTCGAGAGAGCTTTGTGTGGGACTGAGGCGGGTCTGATGGTCCTCTGTGGCAACAGCGGTGTTCCTGCTGGGGGACAGTCGGTGTGACCCCTCAGCACCTGTCCCAGAGCCCGCCAGGGACCCGTGTCCTCCTGCAGTGCACATCCTCCCAGCTGCAGCCATTAGATGCAGGTCGTGGGCTTGACAGCTAGAAGGCAGTGTGGCCCCATGTGGACTGGCACCCCATGTGTGTGGGAGTAGAACACTGTGCCTTAGGGTTTACAGTGGCTGACCCTCAGTGTCCAGGATCCCAGGCCTGGGCATGACGAGGGGGCAACACCACACCAGTGCCAAGGGGCCAGCCTGTCTCCCACGGTATGTCCCTGGGGTCCCCTGGCCATGTGCTGTTACCTTGAACCCTGAGTTTGGCTCCCTGAGCCACATCCTCAGGCCCCCTGACCGTGCAGTTATACCTTGACCTTGGGCTCAGCTCCCCGAGTCACGCCCCAAGGTTGGGCCCCAGGGACACGGTCGGCCGTGCAGTGTGGTATCTTGACCTTTGGTTCGGCCCCCTAAGTCCATCCCCAGGGCCCCCCAAACGTGTGGTATTACGTTGAGGCCCAGTTTCGGCCCCCCGAGTCCGTCCCAGGGCCCCCGACCTGCAGTGCTTTACCTTGAGGCCCAGGTTCAGCTCCTTTAGTGAACGGCGCATCTCGTTGGTCAGGATATTCATCCTCTCACATTCCTGGAAGGCCACCACCACGTAGGGGGTCTTCTCCACCGCCTTGGCCATGATCTCCGCCATGTTGAACATTTCCGGGATCCTCTCAAGAATGTCGTCCAGCACCGCCTTCACCTAAAGGCCCAGACAGTCAGCAGGAATGCTTCCCGCTCAGGCTCTCACGCCACGGCTCAGAACACGGGACAGGAGAGGCAAGTGGAGGTGCCGGGCAACCAGGGGCCGGGGGCTGCCACCCACTGGGCAGGGGAGCAGTCTGGGCCCCACAGGCTCAGGGGGCTCTGGTCCCATGGCAAGGCCACCCAGCGGTGGCCTGGGGCCATCAAGCATTTCTGGAGTGGAGCTGGCCTTCCCTCCCTCCGTCACAGTCCCCAGGCAGCCTGGGAATGTGGTTTTGTTCTCCGTGTTGGGAGGTGCTGTTCCAGGGAGGGCCGGGCTCATGTGCACCCGCCCTGCAGGGAACACGTTCCTGCTTCCAGTTACTAGACAACAGATCATGGGGTCTGATAGCAACAAGGCAGTATTAATGTGTATGGTACACATATACATGCACCCCCACAGACATGTACACACACGTGTATATATGCAAATGTGCAAGGCACACGTACATCAATACATGTACATGTACTTACACACACGCATACACGCACACATACAGAGATGCATATACACACATGTGCACACATACATGTACACACACACAGCCAGTTGCCATCGACTCCACGTCACGGCAGTCTCCTGCCACGACACATGACTCCTGTGTGTCAGAGCAGTATGGGCTCCATGGTGTCTCTAAGGACTGATTTCTCAGAAGCAGATTGCCACACCTTTCTTCCAAGGTGCCTTGGGTGGACTTGAAGCAGCCTTTTGTTGAGCAGCTTAGTGTGTTACCATTTGCAGGCCTGGGGGCTCCCTCGACACACACACACACACACACACACACACATACACACACAGAGTGTAACATGATTCAGTCCAGTCTGGTCTGTTTCCCAGCCAGTCCAGTCCTTCTCCAGTTTCTGACAGTCAGGACCTTCCCAGAACACGTTAGAAGAATGAGGAGGGCCTGATGCCTCAGGAGATGACGCAGCTGGCACCGGGAAAGTTCCGAGCCTTCCTGGGTCTCTGTCCGTCAGACGCCCACTGCCTGTTGTCAGTGCCCAGTGCATCAGGAAGGGCTGTCCTGGCAGAGCCAGGACCCTTGCCCCGACCCCGATGCTGGATGCCAGCTGCGCTCTAGGTGTGCCCTCGGCAGGGGTGGAGGGCAGGCAGGTGCTCTCTCGGGCATCAGCCCCAGGGACTGGGGGCTGGGGACTGTGGACAAACACTCAGCCGTGACTGTCCCTCTGCCTTTCCCAGAGCAGTGGCTCACGCCCTGAGCCTGCGTCCTGCCCCTGGAGGGCCTGTCCCCACATTGCAGGCCCCACCCTGGATGTCTGATTGAGGAAGTCTGGGCTGGGGCCAGAACGCGCCTTGCTCCTTGTGCGCGAGCCCCCGGGTGCTGCTGCTCGTCCCACCCGCCCGTCCCTGGGGCTGGGAACTGGGCCTGCCTTCTCCTCTCGAGAGACTCCTGTGCCCGCCCCCGAGTCGGTCTCCTTGGGTTGCATTTCCAGGACGGTGCGGAACAGCTTCTCGGAGGTGACTGTCAGAAAGCCGATCTCTGCGTTGGGGTGCAGGCCATACAGGTAGGGGCTCTCGGGGGGCAGGTTCTCGTCGATGTACTCATGGTAACCCTGGCGGAGTACAAGCCGGCTGCAGGGCACCCTCAGTGGGCTGCACTGCCTGAGCCCGTCTCTGCTGTCAGGTGTCCTGAACCAGGCCTCCACCCGCGTCCTTGCCGTCTGCGGCCACCCCCTCTGCTCACTGCTGCGTGGAGGACAGTCCCACCCTTCCCAGAGCTTAAACAGCTTCAGGTCTGTTGTTTGGGTCACAGGGGCTCTTGCTCAATGATTGATTGGTGCCCCATTTGTGATGGACTCAGTCCCGCCAGCTGCCCGGCTGCCCTTAACCTCCACCCCCACTGCCTCCGACCTGCTCCCCACCCACGCTGCGGCCTGCCCCTTACCTTGTAGTCCAGGTTGGGAGGGGTCTGGAAGCCGGGGGCCAGCTGCACGTCACCCTCCAGCATCTCCCCGCGGACGTACTCTGCCAGGTATGTCCTGCACAGCCGGCGGTCCCAGTCGTCTGTGATGTGGCCGCCGTACATGATTTCACCAAAAAGGTAGCGGAGATCATCCCAGGGCACCTGAGAACAGGGTGGGCCATCAGGGAAAAGCAACCCCACGGAGGACAGGACGCGGTGTTGCCCCATCGCCATCCTCTGGTGGCGTCCACTGTCTGTCGTTGGCTCTTGAGTCAGCTGATCTCACGGGGGTCCCCTCATTGCTGCAGCTCCCCGACTCTCTCAGACTTGGTGTCCAGTGAGTTCCTGCAGCCCCCGACTGTCAGACATAGTGTTCTTGTGTTTGTCTGATTAGTGTCATGGAGTTTTACTCAAAATGTTATTGTTTAAACAAGCATTTAGTGACCTGAAAACCATTTTTCTCCACTGGCTTATCTTGGGAAACTCTAGTGGTATAATGTCTAAGGCATCTGACTGCTAATCAGAAGGCTGGCGGTTCAAACCCACCAACACTCCACAGAAGGAAGACTGGACAATCTACTTCCATAGAGATAAGCCTCGGGACCCAAGGAGGGGTCGCTATGGGTTGGATGTGACTTGACAGCAGTGCATTGGGTTTTTTGGTTTATCTCGGGTGTGTTCTGAGCAGTTTTTTCTGCATTTACTTGCTGTGGAGGCAGCCTCTTGCCTTGTTTTTTTCAGTTGTGGTAAATATGTAGGTAACCAAGCCCAGGCCATTTCAGCAGGCTTCCCGTGCACAGGCCCATGACATTAAATATGCTCCACAAGGCCAGCTTTCACACTGTGTGTGTTTAAAACTGGTTTTTAGGAGTTTGTGGTGCATTCTGGATACAGACCCTTGTCAGTTACACTCTGGATACATGGCCTTGTCAGTTACACTCACTACAGGCCCTTTGTCAGTTACACTCTACAGTTACACTCTGGATACAGGCCTTGTCAGTTATACTCTAGATACAGACCCTTGTCGGTTACACTCTGGATACAGGCCTTTGTCAGTTACACTCTGGATACAGACCCTTGTCAGTTACACTCACTGCAGGCCCTTTGTCAGTTACACTCTACAGTTACACTCTGGATACAGGCCTTGTCAGTTACACTCTGGATACAGACCCTTGTGAGGTGTGTGTGTTGCAAATATCTTCTCTCAGTTTGTGTTGCGATCTTCATTTTCTTTGTTTTCTTCAATAAAAATCTCCAGTTTTTCAAAAAGCGTGGTGACTATGTTGGTAACAACTTGCCATTTCAAGTCTTCAGTGACAGCGAACATGTCTGCCTTGTACGGCTGTCGCCATTGAGCCATCCTGGATGCTTCCGTCACCGTCACAGAAGCAGTGTCTTCTGTAAGGCAGGGATGACTGCACCGCCCCATCCACCCCAGTGTGTGGCCTCCTAGGGTCGGGCCTTCCCCAGGGGCAGGGCAGTGGCACTGACAGGAAGGTGTGGCCGTCTGCTTTCTAGGCCCAGTGGATGGAGCACCGGTTAGAGACACCGGTGGCCAGGCCTCTCCGTGTCTTTTACTAACATCCGGCTGATGGAGCTTTGTCTTCCGGCCAGCGTGGGAAGCATGGCTGGACTCCTTGGAGTGGAAGGAGCCAGGAGGAGGGGCCCCAAGCTGCTGCAGGCACTCAGAATAAGGCAGAGGGGGAGAGAGGAGATCCTGGGGACAGAGGGAGGCCAGGCTGGGACAGCTTGGTGCAGGCGGCCCGGTCTTGACACCCTGCCCGTCGGCTCCTCAGAGTGCATTTAGCAGCCACTGGAGTGAATGGTGCACTTTCCTGTTTGTCTGCAGTGGGCCCTGCACACGTGTGTATAAGGGGTGGGCCCTGCACATGCTTAAGGGGTGGGCCGTGCGTGTGTGTAAGGGGTGAGCCCTGCACGTGGGTGTGTAAGGGGGGGTGCCTAAGTGAATGTCTAGCTATTAGCATGATTGCACCCCCAGACCCATCTCCCCAGAGAACCGCTCTCAGCGATGCTGAAGTCTTTCTTACGTCTTTCTTGCACACACTTCCTGGTGTCAGTGCTGGAAGAAGTGCCCCGTTGTCCAGCCAGGCCCATTCAGGTGAAAGGAGCCAGAGGACAGTGCTCCAGGGGCCTGGAGATGGAGACTGCCCCTGCCCCGTCTGCATGGTGGCCTGTGATCTGTGAGCAGGGAGCTGACCCCTGCCTGCTCCCACCCTCCTGCCTTCTCTGAGGTTGGGGGCTTCACCTGAGGTACTAAACAGCACGGCAGGTGCTGGCTTGGTGGCAGTGACACCAGGAGGCCGTCTCGCCCTCAGTCTGGGCTGAGTAGCTCCCAGCGTGGCCTCCTGGGCAGGACAGCCAGCACTGCGGATCCAGGGCAATGCTTGGCATCGTGGGTCAGCCCCCTTCCCGTTGGACCTGCTCAGATGGGCTCATGGGATTCCCCCCTTCCCGCTCCCACTCATGTCTTGAACTTTATTATGATGGTGTGGGAAACAGGAGGGGGCTTCCTAAGACCCCCGGGCGCCACCCTTCCTCATCTCATCCCTACCCTCCCAGGCTGGACGGTTGTCCTGTCTGACAAGGCATCGGGCTCCAGGAGGTCGAGGGACTCAGTGCTGCCCACCGCCCCCCCCCCCCCAGGATAGGCAGGGCCAGGCTTCAAACTCGGCCTGAGACCAGCACCATCACTGATCTCCGGCAGCTGACTGACAACTGACAACCGGCCGACAACCACAGGAGCCGTGGGCAGAGTCCAGGCCCTAGACTGTTGCAGCTTAGCTCTCGGGTTCTCGGAGGTCTCCACGCGGTTCCGACAGCCCCTCCCCCATGCTCTGTATGGGTGCTTTGTAGATGGGGCAGCAGCCTTGGGGTTTCTCAGACAGGGCGACTGCCCTAGATAGGGTTGTGCTTAGGACCGAGGGTCACACGGGTATCAGAGCACTGGTGTGGGAGTTGGAGCCCCGCAGGCTGACTGCAAGTCGTGTACCTAACCTCCAGGTGGTGCAGCCCAGGTCCCCCCTCCACCCACCTCCCCAGGGCTGCCCACCTCCCCAGGGCTGCTCGGCTCCCTCGGGCCTGCGGACCACTGCTGTGCCCCTCCCTCTCTCCAGGGACGGGGCTTTGACTTCCCTTTCCTCAAACCTAAGGTGCTCTGGTGGCGCAGTGCCTAAGGCATTTGATTGCTAGCCAGAAGGTTGGTGGTTAAGCCCACCAGCCACTCCACGGTAGGAAGGGTGGGCAATCTACCGTAGTGACTTATCGCCATGGAAACCCAGCGGGGTCATTGTGAGTCTGAGTGAACTCATGGCAGTGGGTTTGTTCCCCCACCCCCAAACCTGGGCTCTACCTTCGACACTGACAGCACCCCCACTGGAGCACTGGCAGAGGAACCCCTTGGCGGCTCACGTCTGGGGTGCAGGGTCTCGGGGAAGCCCTGTTCAGCCGGTGTTGTCAAGTGCCATGGAGCTGGACCTGACTCATAGTGAGCCCTCCTTGGGTTTCCGAGGCAGTATCACTTTGGAAGTAGATTGCCTCATCTTCCTTCTAAGGAGTGGCTGGTGGGTTTGAACCACCAGCCTTTTGGTTAGCAGTCAGGTGCCTTAGGCACTGTACCACCAGAGCTCCGATAGCCGGCAGGTATTTTGGACCTGGCCCCATGGGGTTGTGGTAACACGAAGAAAAACTGCCCAAATGCTGAAGACTGCCGGATGGGGCCACAGGACTGGGTCATAATCGTCACACGTCACACCCACAGATCAGGGTCTTTTTTTTTCCCCCTAGTTTTCAGATTTTGATTTATGACTTGTATTTAATGTTTTTTAAACACAAGACAAAAAACACTAAG